AAAAAAAAAGAAAAAGAAAATATAAATTATTTTACTAAGTAAAATTACAGACTTATGGGGGGAGGGCACACAAATCCCTGAGTTCAAGCCCCATACTGGCACCAAAATTAATAATAATAGCAATATTCTTTAACAAAAAATGTAAGTATGCATGGATGAGTTTATATGGTCATTTTTTAGAGATAAGGTCAATAGTGATAATAGGCTCAAAAATGAATTCCGAAAACAATTCTGGGTAACAGCCCCACGCTCTCGGTGCTAACAATTTAGCAAATTTATTTTTATATATCCTAAGTTCTTTATAATTTTTTCCCTAATGGCAGTGTCCTTTGAACCACAGACTTGTGGATACTAAAAATCTATTGTGTCCTACATGACTATGCCAGGCAAGAGATAAAATGTATGCGTGTGTGTGTATGTGTGTGTGTGTGAGATGATGATGGTGGTGGTGGTGATGATGATGATGATGATTATGATGAAATATATATTTAGGGGCTGGGAAGGTGACTCAGTAGTAGAGTGCTTATCTCGCATGCAATGAGGCCCTACATTCGATTCCTCAGTACTATATAAACAGAAAAAGCCAGAAGTGGCGCTGTAGCTCAAGTGGTAGAGTGATAGCCTTGAGCTGAAGAGCTGAGGGACAGTGCCCAGGCCCAGAGTTCAGGCCCACGACCAACCAAAAAAAAAAAAAAGAAAGAAAGAAATGTGTATTTATATTATGTAATAATCAAATTAGGCTTATAGAGTATGTATGTATTAATGATCACACTGCACCTCTTAAGTACATAGAAGTATTATGTGTCAATCAGAAATGTTTTAAATGCTCTAATTCTACATTAGACTTCTCAAGCTTTGCTTGATTTCAAAGTAAGCAGGAAAACAGAGGAAGTATATTTTATTGGCATTTTGACCCAGCATAGCTCAACTCAAATAAAATAGAACAAAGCAATTTAAACTAGTTGAACAACATATAACAGTAATTTCTGTTTTACTATCATATGATTGTGTTCATGCAAGTACAATCATCAAAACTATCTTTCAAAATATATGTCAGAGCACCACTTCCATTTGTAGTAAATGATAATGTAAATTCATTGTCAAATCTTATCTGGCTTTAGAAGTGTAAACATATTTGCTACAAGTAAACTTTAAAAGGTAAAAGTTAATGTTACTAATGAATAAATCAAACTAAAACCAAATATCAACACGTGACATAATTAAACATTACATAATACTGTTTCAATACCTACAACTTAATAATTTCACAAAAGAGAAATAGAAATAAAAAGTAATGTGTAAACTCCCCATGTAGTGTTAAAATACTGAAGGATATAACTTCTACCTAACAAAAAGATGAAACATCAAAATGAAACACCAAAACTAAACCAAATCTGGCTTAGTAGCTACCACAGTCATTATACTTCAAAAGATCTTTTCATTCACTTTGAAAAAAATGCTTTATTTCCTACCTCTTGTTTAAATCATGTAGTTAAATTATGTGAATTGAATATTTGGGGGAGATTTCACATTTATTGTCAGCTGTAGGACTGTAACCCCCTAAAATTTTTCTTTTTTAAACAATTTTTCCAAATAACCTAAAATATTATCTTCATTAAAAAATTACCATTATAAAGTCAGGCAATTCCTAAACATTAAATCCAGCTTAACAGAAGTAGAGAAAAAGTGTATATATAAATGCTGAAAATGACAGAAAAATATTTAATGAATAGGCAAAAATGTTCACATTTATCATTACTATTGATTTGTTCCTTTCTGGCTAAAATTCAATATGTTCTTAAAAGGTCAGCAAGGACATTCAGTGCCACTTTAGATTTTTCTATCTGTAATACAAGGCAGACTCTATTTTTATTCTTAAACATAATTAAATTATAAAGACTACAAATTTGTAAAACTAGTTATAATACTGTATCAAGCAAAACAAAGTTGTTCTCATTGCTCTTGTTACATTCCAGCTTAATCTATACAAGTAAAAATGTTTCTAGATGTTGTGTCAAACCATACCGATACAAGGTGGGGGGAAAAGCCTAGAGAGAGATTTCTGTTGGCTCCTAGGATAAACTGAAAAGGGAAAAAAATGAAATTGAAATATTTCATCTCAAGTGTCCTTATGAGGCTTAGCATGTCAAGCAGCACTTGATACAGCAAGTTTCTTCAAATGATCCATGAACACTTGTAAACTAACATCATCTGTGAGAATAGGGGCTCCAGACTCCTAGAGGAAAAGGAAACATCTGTTAGAATCAAAATATAGGATGACACCTTGGAATGTAGAAGCAATGTAGAAGCAAATTCTTTTTTTTTGGGGGGGTCCGGTTGTGGGGCCTGAACTCTGGGCCTGAGTGCTGTCCCTCAGATCTTCAGCTCAAGGCTAGCGCTCTACCATTTGAGCCACAGCGCCACTTCCGGCTTTTTTCTTTTTGCTTATGTGGTGCTGAGGAATCGAACCCAAGGCCTCAGGCATGCAAGGCAAGCGCTCTACCACTGAGCCACCTTCCCAGCCCCATAGAAGCAAATTCTTAAGGCTATCATTTGAAGTAGAATAATGACTGATTCTGGTTGCAGAAAGGGAAACTCAATGTAAATCTTAAGAAATCCCTGAGTAACAGTACTGTAATTCATGGGCATACCTTAGCTTCTGCTAGGAGATGAACTGTCTCAGGAGGAAGGCTGGCTACCAGAAAGAGCAAGGACATGAATACTGGGTTGGGACCTTAATACAACATGACCGCTAGACCCCTGTTCCCTGTCACAAATGCCAGCTGAAAAAAAAGAAAACTCACAATATCATTTTAAATAACTGGCGCTTATCAAATTTCTTTCTAGTCATTTTCATTGATTTCTGTGGGTTTTAAGGAACTAACAAGAGTTAAGGAAAATTCCTAATATGCATTTTAATCAAAACTGCATTGACAAGCTGGGCGACAATGACTCATGCCTATAATCCTTGTTACTCAGGAGGCTGAGATCTGAGGATCTCAGTTCAAAGCCAGTGAGGCAAAAAAAAAAAAAAAAAAAAACAGAAGAGGAGGTATTATAGCTCAAGTGTTACAGCACCAGCCTTGTGCAAAAGAGCTCAGAGACAATACCGAGGCCCTGAGTTCAAGCCCCAGTACCAGTACCAAAACAAACAAATGTTACATTGAACAGCTACTTAAAGATAATTAAAAGTATTTAAATATACACTGACAAAATGATAGCCTAATCCAATAACTGTTAAGTATTATAATAGGAAAATATTTTCATAAGATTTCTGAATTTTAAATTCTTCTGATGCTCATACTTCATATAGTAATAAATAGAAAAAGTCTAAAAGCAGGAAACATTAAGCAATTTTGAGACCAACAAGTTAGTGGCAAATACAGCTCCTGTAGGTCTAGTCTGGCACAGCCTTTTCTGGCAAAAGGGAAATCCTATCATGTTAATCCATTTTTTTAAACCAAGAGAAAAGCTGTATTTTTTATGGCTGATAATATATATACTTTTTTATTACTATTACCTTTAAGTAGTTGTACAAAGAAGTTTCCATTTTAGAAAACAGTATATGAAGACAAAGTGTCTGACAACATTGTCACCCATCTCTCCTAACCCATCACTTCTCACTTTTTTTCTTTAATTGACATTAGATGATTACATAAATTTCATGTATTTTACAGTATTGTGGAATAGTGGTACTTAAAGTCAACACATTTCACAAGGCAAACTGTCATTATCATGGTCTCTACAGTTTGTGAATTTTAGGAGCAGAAAAGCTGTATTTTAAGAAAAATGAAATGCAAAAGGAAAAATGCTGAACATGGCATGATATAGTAAAGGAACACTAAAGGTACTTAAAGTTATATACAGCTATATAGCAGCAGAGAAATTTTTTTAAAGACATACTGAATTAATAAACTGCTTTGTTGAATGACAACTCTTTTATGCAACGACTAAAAGATAATAAAAAATAATTATTTTTGGTCATGGGTCTTGAACTCTGGACCTGGGCACTGTCCTTCAGCTCTTCAGCTGAAAGCTAGTGCTCTAGCTCTTGAACCACAGCACCACTTTCAATTTTCTGGTAGTTAATTGGAGATAAGAGTCTCATGGACTTTCCTGGTTGGCGTGGCTCTGAACCATGATCCTCAGATTTCCACCTCCTGAGTAGCTAGGATTACAGGCATGAGCCACCAGCACCTGGATTTAAAAATATTTTTAAAAGCCAATAGACTTGAAAGATATAGAGTTTAAAAACTGCCAAATACTGGGAATGTGGCTCAGTGGTAGGACACTTGCCTTGCACCCATGAGGCCCTGGGTTCGATTCCTCAGAACTACATACGCAAAAAAAGCCAGAAGTGGCACTGTGGCTCAAGTGGTAGAGTGTCAGCCTTGAGCAAAAAGCAGCTCAGGGACAGTGACCAGGCCCTGAGTTCAAGCTCAGGACCGGCAAAAAAAACAAAAAACCTGCCAAAGGGCTGGGAAGGTGGCTCAGTGGTAGAGCACTTGCCTTGCATGCCTGAGGCCCTGGGTTCCATTCCTTAGCACCACATAAGCAAAAAGAAAAAAGCTGGAAGTAGTGCTGTAGCTCAAGTGGTAGAGCACTAGCCTTGAGCTGAAGAGCTAAGGGACAACGCCCAAGCCCAGAGTTCAGGCCCCAAGACTGGACCCAAAAACAAAAGAAGAACCTGCCAAATACTACAGGAAAGAACATGTTTCTTGGTTTGTAAAATCAAAATGCTACTTATGTTAATTCGTAAGAAGGATTAGAATTCAGAGGAACACAGTCAGACTGCCTGGGCTCAAATTCTGAATCTGCCACATCTTATTCATGTGACTTTGAGGATTACTTATTCTGTGTCTTAGTCTCTGCATCTGGAAAAAAGGGTACTAGGACCTACTCACACAGTTGTTGTAAGGACTACATCAGTTGAACAACACAACACAAACAGAACCACACCTGGCACATACCGTCTAGCTACATCCACTATTACTTCTTTTGGAAAACCTATTATTTTATGATACTAAAATAATTTCCTTATTGTACATTAACAGTTATCCTGGAGAAGCACAGATTTCAGATGATACTTAAATCAATACAGGCTGTAGGCCTTCCTAAAACTATGCGTGATTGTTTTTGCAATTTACATGTTTACCATCCCAATTCACCCAGTCCCAAATCTACTTCTAGTCAAGACAAAATATGTAACTTGCCTAATTTGGAGGCTGAGATTTTATTTGAAATTACAAATACTAATGCTCAGGCTTTATCAAAAGTTAGCAGTTCAGTTGATGTTAATTTTTCAAATACCCTTTTTTTTCTCTTTAAAATATATGTAGCATTGTGGCTCAAGTGGCAGAGTGCTGCCTTGAGCTGAAGAGCTGAGGCACAGTGCCCAGGCCCAGAGTCCAAGCCCCACAACCGACAAAAAATAAATAAATAAATAAAATATATGTAGCATTAGACAATGAGGCCCAAGGTTCACATCACCTAGCTCACAAAGCACTATATCCAGAGACCCCTCATTGTGACAGAGCAGTGTTACAGTGCTGCCCTCTTCAGGCCACCACTGTTCACGGCTGCTGATAAAAAGAAAACTAAGAAACTAGATTCCATTAATCTTTACTAAAATGTTTGATGACTAATTCCCCAAATCACAATTACCAAGTTACCTTAATAATTAAGAATTTACAGGGAAAGATGGAGGAGAGAGATGAAAAGGGAGACATTAATAAAGAAATAACCTGGGGCTGGGAAGGTGACTCAGTGGTAGAGCGCTTGCCTTGCATGCATGAGGCCCTGGGTTCGATTCCTCAGCAACCCATAAGCAAAAAGAAAAAAGCCGGAAGTGGCTCAAGTAGTAGAGTGCTAGCCTTGAGCTGAAGAGCTGAGGAACAGCGCCCAGGCCCAGAGTTCAGGCCCCACGAACAGACCCCCCCCAAAAAAAAAAGAAATAACCTGACTTAAGTTGCTAAAATAAGTAATCTCCCTTTAAGTTATAAAAATTAAAAGGGCTGGACACTGGTGGCTCATGCCTATAATCATAGCTACAGGCTGAGTTCAAGCTCCAGGACTGGTAAAAAAAAAAAAAAGAACCTGCCAAATACTACAGGAAAGGACATGTTTCTTGGTTTGTAAAATCAAAATGCTACTTATCATGTTAATTTATAAGAAACGTTAGAATTCAGAGGAACAGAGTCAGATTGCCTGGGCTCAAATCCTAAATCTGCCACATCTTTCTCAGGTGACTTCGAAGATTACTTATTCCGTGTCTTAGTTCAAAGCCAGCCTATGCAGGAAAGTCCACCAGAAAACCTGAAGTAGTGCTGTGGCTCAAGTGGTAAGAGCACTTGCCTTGAGCTGAAAAGCTCAAGGACAACACCCAGGCCCAGAGTTCAAGCCCCATAGCCCCCCCAAAAAAAAATTTAAAAAGTTAAGTAAAATTAAACAAAACAATAATAAAGAATGTAGAATCTGTAATCAAGAGCCTACCACAGTTTAGCGATGGCATCTTAGGCAAGTTAATCTACATAACCTCAAGTTCTTTTTCTGAAATACAGGTCTTACTTATGCTTAGACTACCTTACTTCCAGGAAGTAATAATTAAACTTCAAAGTTTAAAATAAATGTTTTTTTTGTTTTGTTTTGTTTTTTTGAGTCCAGTCGTGGGGCCTGAACTCTGGGCCTGGGCACTGTCCCTCAGCTCTTGAGCTCAAGGCTAGTGCTCTACCACTTAAGCCACAGCACCACTTCTGGCTTTTTTTGTTTATGTGGTACTGAGGAATGGAACCAAGTGCTTGCTGGGCAAGCACTACCACTAAGCCACATTACCAGCCATAAATGTTCTTTTTTATGTTGAATACCTTTAAAGAGGAATAACCTTTTTGACCAAAGATAGTGAAACTAAGCTAATATTCAGATTGTTATTGTCCAAATCAAACACATTACTATTAAAACTGGACAACTAACCTGTCTGTATTGCAAAATTTTAACTCCTACCCTGTCTGCCAAACTTCTATACATTCATGTTTCCAGATCTATTGTATTCAGTGTTCAGGATATTGTGGAAAGTTCAAAATGAAAGGAGGCAGGGAATTCCTTTTTGCAAAACCAAATGTAAGAAGGATGAAAACAATAAATTAACATGATAACTGCCCTCAAGTATAACCTAACAGCAGAAGAACCATAGGAAACAGGATGCTGGCGTGGGCAGCGAGAGGAGAATGATAGGGCAGCGACATTATACAAAACTACTCACACACTCATAGTAAAAGTTTCATGGGTTTTGTGAACTACACACTGGGCTTTGAGAATAGCTACATGTGTTTCAGGCTGAAACTACAGAGAAGGGAACAAGTTCAGAGAGAGGCCCAGGGGTTGACCAAGGGGTCTGTATGGTAGCTAACAGGAGAAAAGCACATTTGGGTCAGATCAGTAAAGAACCCTCAATACAATATATAGGAATACTATTCAGAAACAACTGATCAAAGATTTTAAAGCTGATATTAAAAAAACTAATGTTTTTTTTCTTTCATGTAATTGTTTCTAACATATTTATAAGATGATTTCTATGTTGCTTTGTATGTCCCTCCCCCACGGTATAACCCCTACTTTCACTGTATTTGATGTTGGTATAATTTGTGGAGGGGAAGGGCAAAAACAAATCGTTTAACTAGGGATACAGGTGGACCTATTGCAACAATGAGATGTACAAGTCATTATGTCGAAAAAACGAACTTTACAACTTTGGTGGTGGTGGGGAGGATAGGGCGGGGAAAGGTGGGGGGAGAATGGGAAGGGATGGGAAGGGAAACAAAGAGGAGGCAACAATGCTTGATAAGAAATGTACTCATTATCTTGCCCATGTAATTGTAACTCCTCTGTATGGTATTTTCACAATAAAAAAGTAAAAATTAAAAAAAAAAACTAATCTAGTAACTGTCCCTCTCCCCCCCCAAAAAAAAAAACTGAAAATACTAAGACCAGTGAGCAGGAATCTCATCAGTCCATGTGAAAGCAACTGACTTTGATTAATGACATGGAAGGGAGAGAACAGACCAAAGAAATAGGGTAAAACATTTGTAATGAGGAGCAGAAGGAGAAAAAAAATTTAAGTAACTGACGTTTCAAGCCCTGGGGATTAAAGAGACTGATGAGGTCCTTTGTAAAAGTATAGGGAATCATGAAAGACAAGACAGTGTAAAAGAAGTAAGGTCTGGCATTCTGTGTGTGAAACTGTCTACACAAAGTCATGTGTAAAGGCAGTTAAAGAAAAAGTTTACAACGCAGCATGAAGCCAAACAAAAGGTAAAGATTAGCAAGCTAGCCTGCACATGAAAGCTGAAGCCCTAAGAGATCCATTTCTCTCCCTCTAACCCAGGATTCAAATTTTGTATACCGCTGTTGTACCCTGGAATAATTTTCCTCCAAAATCCAGTTACGTTCTATGGAGTCTTCTTTTGAAATATCTCTCAAATTTATTCCTTTTCACTACTTTGTCTTCATTTCCCCTAACTTACATCACTATAAATAGCTTCTACCTAGAGATAATTCTAAATTAATCTTAGGATTAATGTATTAATATTAATATAATTAATATATTATGGAAGGCCCAAATTTGCCTGTCCAAAAACCTTGAACAATTAGCTCTCTATTGCTTACCAAATAAAGACAACTCCTCAGTCTTCAACTTGGTATTCAAGATTCTCACAATTTGGTCATGAAACACAGCTCCAGTTTTACATTCTACTATTCACTTCTACACATATTATCTTAGCCTACACTATATTTTAAGCAAAATTCCCTTCTCAGGTACTTTCCACTTATTTAGGTAATAATCATTCCTTTTTACTGAGTTCTTTTGGGGTCACATACCCTCATTTACTGTAACCATAATCTCTTCTCTCTTCTTCTATCCCTACAATACTTGATAGTTTTCTAAAGGCATATCCTGCCCATAGTTTATTCAGGTATGTAGTCTCCTTAGGTAGACTACAAACTGTTTGAAGGCATACTCCAAAGTGCTAACACACAGTCCTGTACATACTGAACATTTGATAGATGTTGACGTGGCATCAAGAGGGAGAGCTAATGAGGTCAGTAAATGAGAATAAATAGAGTCAAAGTAGTTCATTCACTTGTATGAAAATAGAAAATGTAGAAAAATTCAACAACTGCTCAAATTGTTTTAAAAAGGACAGGGACAAGGGAGTGTGACAGAAAGAGTGAGATTGATTGCAATACATTGCACACAAAAGTGAAATGTCATAATGAAACCCCTCCTGTACAATTAATGTATACTAATTAAAAGTGGGAAGGGGGGCCCAGACCTGTAACCAAGTTAAAATATGCCAAACTTGTTGTGCCTTCCTTCTGCAGTTCACAGCCTTATATCAGACTTAAATCTTCCTTTCCTATTTTATTGCTTTTTGTCTCCGGAGGGTATGGGGCTTAGGATGGACTATGATGAGGTTCTAGCTGTGTGACTGAATCAACTTGTTTTGTTTTTCTATGGTGCTACCAACTACTAATTCTATTTTCTTTCCTTATTTTCTCATAACTTCTTTTTTTAGCAGAAAACATCACTAAATACACAGGGGAAAAATGTGTTTTTTTACTTAAAGAACAAACGATGACAAATGACTACACAAAGAAACAGTTTTGAAGACTGCTACTGACACTTACCTGCCCCCAGGCATACATATTATTATGCGTCTGTGAAGGGTTGACTTTTGAGAGGAGGAACCGAGCCTTAAAGTAAAGAAGAAATAATATTATCCATCAAAAGTAGATTTAGCAAACATAAATAAATATACTTGCTGAAGTCAATTTAATGCATTGCTAAAATTAATTTTATTAAAATACATCTAAAAAGATTAAAATTTCAAATGTGTAGGCCACTGTGCTATAAATAATGTTCCCTCTTCTCTTCCAATCATGTATCCTAACATTAATAACAATAATAAATTGCTGCATCTAAAGGTCAGCATATAAAAATTATGTGTGTAACAAATATGACAAAGTTTAATGTGAAATTATAATTTTTGCAAAGTAGTCAAAAATATAATCAGAATGTCTGAAGTCTCATAAAATGATACAAATAAAAACTCTGACAATCTACATTGTTTCACTTTCAGAAATGCTGTTCCAAGTTAAAAACCACTGGTGATTCCGTGGGACAACTTAGCAATCACTCTCCATCAATCCATCACAGCTTATCATCATGAAAAAAATAAGTTAAAGAGAAAAATAGCAAGATACACTGAGACAGTATTGAGAGTAGTCATAAATCTTAATTATTCAAGAACAACATATAAGTATTTAGACTCACATAGAATCTGTTTTCTAAGTAAGCAGTTCATACAGTATCTGAGCATTTCTGAACTCAATTCCTAGAGCCAAACTAAGCATGGTGGTGATACCCTATGATCTCAGCCACTTGGGACAGTAACACAAAGTATGGAGAGATTGATAAAAGCCTGGGTTACACACTGAGACATTGTCTCACAAACAAATTTTACATTCTTCATTTAATGTGCTTCCCTGTCCACAAGTACTTCAAATCTCAATTTTCTAATCTTCAAGGTGGAGATAGAAACACAGTTCTTATGAGAATCAAATGAAATAAGGAATGCAAAGTGCACACACATTCTCAGTACATGATAGTCCTATGAAAAATACAGTAAAAGGGGCTGGGAAGGTGGCTCAGTGGTAGAGCGCTTGCCTTGCATGCATGAGGCCCTGGGTTTGATTCCTCAGCACCATATAAGCAAAAAGAAAAAAGTCGGAAGCAGTGCTGTGGCTCAAGTGGTAGAGCGCTAGCCTTGAGCTGAAGAGCTGAGGGACAGCGCCCAGGCCCAGAGTTCAGGCCCCACAACCGGACCCAAAAATAAAAATAAAAAATAAAATAAATAAAATTTAAAAAAGAAAAATACAGTAAAAGCAGAATAATTGGTATAATTTCTATGTAACTGTCACTAATACTTTATAATACTGGGGTTGAAACTAGGGATGTAGCAATAAACAAACTATAGTCTCTGCCACTAAGAAGTAAGTAAAATACATCACAACTTAAAGTTCAATGTACTATAATTGATTACCACTGCAAGGCAGAAGTGTCTCAGAGAGATGTGTTAAAGACCCTAAACCTGGCCTTCTGGAGAGTTCAATAAGCCTGGGTACCTATCTATTTAAATCTTAGTTCTAAAAATCACAAAAGCATTTTCTAATACCACAATGCTTTTCTTTTAGTAGAAAACTAGAGCGATATAATGAAGGAGTAAGCTAACACAAAGTTTAGTATTTTACTTTAAGGAAAGTACACTAAATCATTTCCCAAGGATTCCTGTTCCTATCTTCTTGCTCACTAAGGCTAATATACCATTGGAATGCCATTCTGGCTCTGTTACAAGAGGGAGTGGAAGTGGAGTAAAAAATCAAGTGCCAGCCTCAGGCAACTGGTTGATTTTATTCTCTGCTTTCAGAGCCACTGCAAAAAGCAAGCATTGGATACCCTTCCCTCCCATCTCCTTGCATCTGTTCTGTGAGGCAATCTATTCAAATTCCTCCCAGAAGGCAATCAACAACATGGGCATGTGTATATGAACTACTCACCTGGCTGCCTCCATGTTCTGTGTCAATGTATCTTGGCATTGGAAACCGGGAGTGAAGAATCTCCTGGGCGTCATCCACTGGGGCTTGTAGAAGGTGGCGGAAATTTTCATATTCTGGCATGTCCTGATATCCTGACTTTCGCCACTGGGCTATGGTCTAATTTTAAAACAAAGGAATTTTAAATTTTCCTGTCCATCTAAAAAGCTTAATTTTTTTAATAAAAGGATGTAATCTTCAGAAAACAAGAAAATGGTTAAAAACTGCATTTATCTCCATTTTTATTGTTTTTATTTATTATAAAGGTGTTGTACAGAGGGATTACAATTACCTAAGTCAGGTAATGAGTACATATTTCAATTTTTAAAGTTACAAATACTAATTTCAATAGAGTGGAAAAAACAATTTAAATGCTGAGTACTAATGGCTGACACTTGTAAACGTTAGCTATTCAGGAGGCTTAGATCTGAGGATCATTGTTCAAAGCCAGACAGCCATAAGACTCTGATTGCTGCCAGGTGCCAGTGGCTCACACCTGTAATCCTACCTACTCAGGAGGCTGAGATCTGAGGATCATGGCTCAAAGCCAGCCCAGGCAGGAAAGTCCGTGAGACTCTTATCTCCAATAAACCACCAGAAAGCTGGAAGTGGTGCTGTGGCTCAAGTGGCAGAGTGCTAGCCTTGAGCTGAAGAGTGCAGGGAAAGCACCCAAGCTCATCAAGCCCCACAACCGACCCAAAAAAAAGTTAAAAAAAAAAAAAAAAAGAAAGTTTATCCCTGACCAAATACTGGCCACACATAACAGAGAGGGAAAGCCTCCCCAGAATAAACAGACTTCACACACACAGCATGTAAAGCATTTACATGCACAGAGTTTAAACACCACAGACTCTTACCTCACCATGATAAATCAGAATCTGGAAGAACGTGTCCATGAGGAGAATTCGATCTGCAAGAATGCTGCTGCTATCAAGAAGAACTGGCTAATAAAAAGAAAACAGAAAGACATGAGGAAAAGAAAGTACCTGAAGATACAAAATAGGCCTTTCCAAGATGTTTTCTAGATTTTAGTTTCACAGTTCAAGTCTTTGTCATGAATTCTCAGTGTGTTTTAATGTTCTAAGGATTCTCTCTAAACAATAAAAACAATAACAATAAAAAATAATAACAATAAGCATCAAGAAGAAATTGGGATGACTCCTAAATCTGTTAGTAGTAGCACTGAGTGCAACCAGAAAGGCTTGAATAAAACAGATTTAAGGAACATGGAAAAATAGTTCTGTACATGAAATAAACAGGAAAGGCCTAGACAGATGAATAATTTGGATCTCTCATGCACAAAGATAGTAATTAAAACTATGGAATTAGATTACATCATTTAGAGACACTGAAGATAAAGCCAAAAGAATGAACTTTCAAGTATGCCATATGTAGAGATCTGAAAGGGAGACGCTAGCAAAGGAGACTAAGCAGGAGCTGCCACAAGTAAAAGACCAGGTTAGAAAGAGTAAGTGTCAGGGAAGCACAAGGTCTTTAAGGAAAGGATCCTTGGGCAAGTGCTGAGGAGAGTTTACTGAGGCAAGCTGGAGGTCATCGGTGGTCTTGAGAGGAGCCGTTTTAATATAATATTAGGAACCAAAGTGTAACTCTGGTAAGTGGAGAAGAAAATGTAAGGATAGAAAGGACATATAACAAATAATTGGTTTTAATGGTGACAGGGAACAGAGAAATTATGTGATAATGAAAACATACAGATAAGCTGAAGTCTTCAGTTGGTTTGCTTCTTTAATGAGTATTATTAAAGTTTCTATGTTAATGAGAATGATCCAGATTGACAGAAAGTGATGATACAGGGCAGAAATAAGATTCAAAAGCAAAGCCTTAAAAACATGGAAGCAAGGCTAGGAAGTTGCTTGCCTTGCATGTATGAGGCCCTAGGTTCGATTCCTCAGCACCACATAAGCAGATAAAGCCAGAAGTGGGGCTGTGGCTCAAGTGGTAGGGCGCTTGCCTTAAGCTGAAGAGCTGAGGGACAGCGCTCAAGCCCAGAGTTTAGGCCCCACAACCAGCAAAAAAAACAAAAATCAAAAAATATAAAAAACATGGAAGCATGGCTGGACACTGGTGGCTCACACCTGTAATCCTAGCTACTCAGGAGGCTGAGATCTGAGGATCATGGTTCAAAGCCATTCCAGCCAGGAAAGTCCATAAGACTCATCTCCAATAAACCACCAGAAAACTGGAAGTGGCACTGTGGCTCAAGTGGTAGAGCACTAGCTTTGAGCTGAAGAGTTGAGGAACAGCACCCAGGTCCAGAGTTCAAGCCCACCACCACCACCAACAACAAAAAACAAACAAACAAGGAAGCAGGACTGGAAATGTGGTTTAGCAGTAGAATGCTTGCCTAGTATGCATGAAGCTCTGGGTTCAATTCCTCAGTACCATATAAACAGAAAAGGCCAGAAATGGCATTGTGGCTCAAGTGGTAGAGTGCTAGCCTTGAGCAAAAAGCAGTTCAGGGACAGTGTCCAGGCCTGAGTTCAAGCCCCAAGACTGAAAAAAACAAACAAACAACAACAACAAAAAAAAAAAACATGAAAGCAACTGATGCTCATGCATGAAACAGAATGGCTTGAATTAAGACAGGAACAGGCATTCTAGGTGACAGGATTACAATTCTTCTAACTATTAACCTACATTTTCCACATATCTGTAATGTACATCTATTACTCTGAACTTAAAAAAAAAAGTTTGTAAAATTTATTTTTCTGACTCAACGTACTCTAAGACATAACTGTTTTCCAGAAAAGAAGGAATTATCAAATTACTAAACAAATTATAGTAAAAAAAAAAGTGTAACAAAATGAAAGAATTTACCCACTATTTTACAAAACCTGAGGGATAATTAATCAAAATAAGTATTCTTTTAATGGTAACTCTTCCTAAAGAATTACTTTCAAATACAGCCATCATATACTTTTATGTAGTAAACTAGGCAATTCAAAGTAAAGAATAGGACATTGTTCATTTGCTAACAGGTTAAAATAAGTAAGACAATTTGCTAAGGAAAATCAGTGCTGACTTTATCACTTCTACATATATATCTTTTTAGTCAACTATATCTCAAAGGATCAAAGGAAAATAGGATTACATTGTAACAAGAGACTTAGTTTAGAAAGAGGATCACAAATGCAAGGAGCTGAGTCAGAAAAAAGCCAGGAACTTCTCTAGAGAACCACAATCTCTTTTGGACACAGTTAAAGACTGGATAAGATGATCTGCAAGTCCTTCTACCACATTTTTAATATGATCTGTTAAAGATTTCCTAATGAAACCTATCAAGATACTTAGTATATAGGAAGCACTTACAAATACTTTTAAAGTGCTTGAGATAATTAATTTAACAAATGCTTATATTTTACAACTCTATATTTTTAAGTTGTTTTCATTTCTAAGTGCTGTTTAAAGCTTTTAATACATCACAGTAACACAAAAATTAACACTTCTGTTTCTCTTACCTCTGGTGGTCCACTAAAAGAATATGCATATAAAATAGGCTGAATCATGATTAGAGACTGTGTCAGATCTTGACGCATAAAATGGTGACGATAATATGAACTCTCATCAGGACTGTTGTTAAAAATTTGCAAGAAAGGAGATCTTCTTAAGTGAAACATAAACTGCAAGGTAAAACATGGGAGACAGCTCTTATGAATTTCATTACTGTAACAGAATTTTAGTATTAACAAAGCATGTAATTACAACTATTAATAGCACAATAAAACACTTTCTATTAAGAAAGTGTGTTGATGGGAAGGTGGCTCAGTGGTAGAGTGCTTGCCTTGCATGCCTGAGACCCTGGGTTCGATTCCTCAGCACCACATAAGCAAAAAAGAAAAAAGCCGGAAGTGGTGCTGTGGCTCAACTGGTAGAGTCCTAGCCTTGAGCTGAAGAGCTGAGGGACAGTGCCCAGGCCCAGAGTTCAGGCCCCACGACTGGACCCAAAAAAAAGAAAAAAGGAAGTGTGTTGCTTGCCAGGCACTGTGGCTCACGCTGAGATCTGAGGATGGTGGTTCAAAGCCAGCCTTGGCAGGAAAGTCCATGAGACTCTGAGCTCCAATTAACCACCAGAAAACCCGAAGTGGCACTGTGGCTCAAGTAGTAAAGCGCTCATATTGAGCTTAAGAGCTGAGGGACAGCACCCAGCCCAGAGTCCAAGCCCCATGATCAACAAAAAAAAAGAAAGAAAGAGAGAGAAAGAGTACTGCTCAAAAAAGAAACCTATTCATGCTAATTATCAGCTGCTTAAAAATGCTATTCTGGAATTAGAGGTATGGCTCAAGTATGTTAGAGCACCAGTCATAAGCAAAAAAGCTCAGTGAGGATACAAAAACCCTGAGTCCAGACCCTAGTGCTGGCACAAAAAAAAAAAAAAAAAATCCATATTAACACTTACATCTTCCTTTCCCAAAAAAAAAAAAAATTTTCACCAGACTTAGATTCTCCACTTCCTTCTCCTTTCATTTTTTCCCCATCTATACATTCTTCACTAAAACAGGTGAAAAGGAAGAAAGGAAGGCCTGAAAGGACCAAACAAGAGTCTGTCCACTTTAGTCATGTTTCTTAAATTCTTTCATCTCTACATGTTGCTCCTGCCTAGGAATAGTCATAGTTCTCTCCACATACACAGCACTCACACTGCCATTGTATTCTTTTTCCTTTTTCAGTCGTCCATAATATACTAGTCTCTTTCATCTCTTATTTCAGTCTCTACTGTTGACTCACAAAAATATCTAACTGGTAAATTTTCAGGTAATATTTTAGGGATGAAGACTTCCTTTTACAATGATCTTTTTACAAGATGATAGATTTTGAAAACCCCATATAAAAACAACATCGAAATGCTTTGCCTTTTATTTCTGGGAAAGCAGAAAAGATGAGACAGCAAGAACTCTGAATATCTAGTTTGTTTTTTGGTTTTTTGGGTTTTTTTTGGTCAGTTGTAGGGCCTGAACTCTGGGCCTGGGCGCTGTCCCTCAGCTCTTCAGCTCAAGGCTAGCGCTCTACCACTTGAGCCACAGCGCCACTTCCGGCTTTTTTTTTTTTTGCTTATGTGGTGCTGAGGAATCAAACCCAGGGCCTCATGCATGCAAGGCAAGCACTCTACCACTGAGCCACCTTCCCAGCCCCTCAGTAAAGTTTTTTTTTTTTCCGGTCGTGGGGTCTGAACTCTGGGCCTGGGCGCTCTCCCTCAGCTCTTCAGCTCAAGGCTAGGGCTCTATCACTTGAGCCACAGCGCCACTTCCGGCATTTTTCTTTTTGCTTATGCGGTGCTGAGGAATCAAACCCAGGGCCTCATGCATGCAAGGCAAGCGCTTTACCACTGAGCCACCTTCCCAGCCCCCCTAATATATATTCTAACACCCCCAATCTTTGTCCTGGTTTTGTCTATTGCAAAAAATGAAGACACAGAATTCCTCAAACAGAAAGGATTTTACATGCCCCAAGACATACCTCTTCTTCATGGTTTCTTAAAACTTCACCAGAAGTTAACAGAAGTCTCCTCTACTAAAATGGAGCTTCTTAGGAGGATTATAAAAGCCAGTGGCTTACACCTGTAATCCTAGCTACTCAGGATCACAGTTCAAAGCCAGCCCAGGCAGGAAAGTCTATGAGACTCCTATCTCCAATTTAATCACAGAAAAAGCCAGAAGTGGCACTGTGGCTCAATTGGTAGAGTGCTAAAACCCTGAGCAGAGCTCAGGGACAGGGCCCAGGCCCAGAGTTCATGCCTCAGGACTGGGGATAAAATAAAGTAGAAGAAAGCTCTACAAAGAAAGCTCAAATTTTAGGACAGGAGCTGGGAAGATGGCTCAGTGGTAGAGTGAGTGCTTGTCATGCATCCATGAGGCCCTGAGTTCAATTCCTCAGCACCACATAAGCAGAAAAAGCCGGAAGTGGCACTGTGGCTCAGGTGGCAGAACACTAGCCTTGAGCTGAAAAGCTGAGGGACAGCGCCCAGGCCCAGAGTTCAGGCCCCACGACCGCAAAAAAAAAAAAAAAAATAGTAGGGCTGAGAATGTGGCTCAGTGATACAGTGCTTGCCTAGCATGCATGAAGCCCCGGGGTCCCTTCTTCAGTACCACATAACAGAAAAAGCTGCAAGTGGCACTGTGGCTCACATGGTAGCGTAATAGCCCTGAGCAAAAAGAAGCTCAGGAACACTGCCCAGGCCCTGAGTTCAAGTCCTATGACTGGCGCAAAAAAAAAAAAGTTTTCTTTACCTGATACAGCCAAATAAAATTGTTCTCAGGTAATGATGATAGCATGCCCTAAGACTAGCTCATTGGTCAGATTATCTCACATAAAGGCCTTCCATTAACATAGTAATTTAATTTGAAGCTCTTGACTCACATGGAAAGATAATCAGCTTTACACTTATTGTAAAACTCAGTCAAATAAATACAAAATAAGAATACCAAACACGATTCATTGACTAACCACAGCACAGTATTAACTACTTAGCTATACCAAAATATTGTCTAACAAAATGAGTAACTCAATAAAACAAGTACATAGTAAAGAGAAGACAATTACTACAAAGGTGAGACTCAGGGCTACTAGCAGCCCAAGAAAAGAAGATGGACCTTTTATCTACTCACCTGTGGATAGAGAGAGAAGGTTTCTGAAAATCTAAAGGAACTTGGATCGTCTTTGTGATACTCTCCGAATTTCTGACACTGTAAAACACAAAGTGTTAGTGACAGACTTCCTGGACTACTACAAGCTAAAATTCTTGCCCATATGTGTTGTAGTTTACAAAAAGTTTTTAGGAGGCAAATATAAAAATGGAACATTACATACAGACTTAGCAAGATACTGATTACAACACAAAAAAATAGCCAGGCACTGACTGCTCATGTCTATCACCTTACCTACTCAGGAGGCTGAGATCGGAGGATCGTAGTTCAAAGCCAGCCCAGACAGCAAAGTCTGTGAGACTCCTATCTTCAATTAACCACCAGAAAACCAGAAGTAGAGCTGGTGGCTCAAAGTGGTAGAACACTAGCCTTGAGCAAAACAGCTCAGGGACAGAGCTCAGGCCCCAAGTTAAAGCCTCATGGCCAAAGGGGGAAAAAAATAAGAATACACTTAATTTTTAGGAACAAACAATACTCAGCCCCAGTACAAATAAAAACTCATCCTAAGATGTTTGGATTTAGGGACAGATGGGATATGTGGAACTCAAACTAGTAAAGTGCTTGGCTAGCAATCACAAAGCACTAAATTCAAATCCCAGTACCACCAAAAAATTAAAATAAAATGTTTAGATTTGTTTTAACTACGTGTCTATGGTAGCAAATAAAAAACTCTTAAATGTTGACCAAAAGCTTGAGCTTCCTAGGACTTTACAAAAATAGATACCTGACAGAAAGATGCACTATTAAAATACCAAAATAGGGGGGAGGATGGGAGGGGGAAACAAAGGAGGCTACAATGCTTGATAAGAAATGTACTCATTATCTTGCCCATGTAATTGTAACCCCTCTGTACAGTATTTTCACAATAAAAAAAATTAAAAAATTTAAAACTAAAATACCAAAATAGGCTGGGAATGTGGCTTAGTGGCAGAGTGCTTGCCTAGCACACATGAAGCTCCGGGTTCGATTCCTTAATACAACATAAAAAAAAGCTGGAAATAGCACTGTGGCTCAAGTGGCAGAATGCTAGCCTTGGGCAAAAGAAGCTCATGGTCAGCGCCCAGGCCCAGAGTTCAAGCCCCAGGACTGGCAAAAAGAAAAAAAAAATTAAAATACCAAACTAGCTACAAAGGTAACTTGCTAATATAAAATCTGGCATACAGAAATACCAAGAAAGTCCAGGTACCAGTGGCTCATGCCTGTAATCCTAGCTACTCAGGAGGCACAATGAGGATCTCGGTTCAAAGCCAGCAGGGGTAGAAAAGTCCCCATGACAATCTTGGTGCTGTAAGTCAAGGGGTAGAGCATTAGCTTTGAGCACAGAGAGACTCAAGGACAGTGCCCAGGCCATGAGTCCAAGCTCGACAACCAATAAAAAAAGGGGGAAAAAAGAAAAAAGAATATCAAGAAAAAGAAGAGCTGAAGAAAAGAAAATCAAAGAGAATAACAATCTGGTAACAGACCAACTCTCCTGATCTGACAGAAAATGAAGATCTATAGAGAGTCTAGCTACTCAAGATTCTGAGATCTGAGGATCATAGTTCAAAGCCAGCTGGGAAGGAAAATCCATCAGACATATCCAATTAACCACCAAAAAACTGGGAATGGAGTGGTGACTCAAATTTAGATGCCAGCTGATGAGAATCTGCTTTGCTCTGGTACTTTGACCAGTCACCCAGGGAATCTCCCCCTGGCAATCTCCTATGTCACCTCCCCTCACCCCTGGGAATCTTAACAGAATACCCATCCTTGAGTTATCCTCAGCAAAAAAAAAAATCGCTCTGGCCTTATCTGAAAGTACAGTACTGCTAAGCCATCACAAACTCAAAATATGACCTTTTGTTACAACAATGAAGACATTATAAATCTAAAACTTTCATATCCTACTTTTTTTTTTTTTTTTTTGGACCGGTCGTGGAGCCTGAACTCTGGGCCTGGGCGCTGTCCCTCAGCTCTTCAGCTCAAGGCTAGCGCTCTACCACTTGAGCCACAGCGCCACTTCCGGCTTTTTTGTTTTTGCTTATGTGGTGCTGAGGAATCGAACCCAGGGCCTCAGGCATGCAAGGCAAGCGCTTTAACCACTGAGCCATCTTCCCAGCCCCATATCCTACTATTTTTAAATCTCAAAACTCCCATGCTCCTAACTCCTTGTTTCTCTGACTCTGGTCAGTGTTACTTGGGGTCCCTCTGCAGCACTGACTAAAGCCTGCTGTGATCTGCTGAGGTCTCTGTCTTCTTTCCTTTTGCCTGCTTGAAATTTTCTAACATCAGCCTTCTGGCATGCACGCGCGTGCACACACACACAGAGATCTACAATGAAATTCTCACTATGTCATAATTCATCCTCTGGCCCAAACATTTTACTGTTGTTGTAAATGTTGCATGATGCAGAAAATGTAGATGAGAGATTAATTATATGGTAAGGCTTTATATTTTCTGCAATTGTTTCATTTGGTTATTTACTAGGCCCTATTTTATATTTTATGAGTGTAATTTACAAACATGTCAAACAACATGACAATTTTTGAGAATAAGGTGTGAGGAAAGAGAGCCTAAGCTAACTCAGAACTCAAAAAAATTACAATCCTCTAGATCATTTCACTGCACTCATGCAAGGAACATAGAAATGTCTATCTTTGAAATGGAAAATACTAAATGGTTTTTACGAGGCTGATAACTCAAGATTGTACTATTCAATTCTATGTTGTATGTAGCAACCTACAAATACAATAGCTCTAAGCAAAATGGAAAAAGCACTTTACTACAAATCATAGCCACTTGACAAGTAAAAGTGCTGATTACTTCTCAAAACAAGACTAAGTCACTTGCAATGAAAAGGCTCAGGAAGCAAGCTCTTTCAGAACACAGTTATTACCCAGAAAGGAAAAAGTCATACTAATGTCCACAAATAACTTTACAGTTAAATGTCAGCAGACACAAGGCTTTTGATCCAATCACCAGAGCCAAAAAGGAGGTTCCATTTAAAACAATATAATAACTTAAGGCATTGACAACATATCAGATGATGCTGAAGATTTATGTATCCGTGATTTTAAAAAATAGTTTATTGGCTGGACATTGGGGCTAATACCTGCAGAAATCAAGGAGATTGCAGTTCGAGGCCAGACAGGGTAAAAAAGTTACTGAGACCCCCCATTTCAATCAAATAAGCAAATATCTATAATCCATCTACTCAAGAGGCTATAATGTAGAAGGTTCAAGGTCCAGCCCTGTCCAGATAAAAATTTAAGACCTACAACTGAAGCAGGAAATGGTAGAGTGGTAGAGCACCTGCTTAGCAAGTACGAGTCCTTGAGTTTAAACTCCATTAGGATAAAAAAAGAATCTGAGTTTAATATGGTTTTCTAGATCAGAATGTAACTAATGGGTTCCTAAAATGTTTTTTAAAAAACTCAAATAAAGTAATATTACCAATAAGTTTACTAGTATACATTTGGTGATCTATATCAGATAATTTTAAAACTTGTATATAGTTTTTGTATGTGTAATTTTATATGAAGGTTTACATATTTTAAACATTCCATTAAAATAAAAGTGGAAAGCAAAAACCAAGCTGGGCTATGGTGGCTCACAACTGTACTCCGAACTACTCCAAAGGCTGAGATCTAAAGATCTCAGTTCAAAGCAGCCCAAGCAGGAAAATCCATAAGACTCTAATCTCTAATTAACTACTAAAACAACCAGAAGTGGAGCTTTTGTGGCTCAAATGGTGGAACTCTAGCCTTGAACAAAAGCAGCTCGGGGACAGCAAACTAGGCCCTGAATTCAAGCCCTAGGACCAGCACAGAAAACAAAACAAAAACCATAGTAGCAATTAAAAAAACACTCAAAAAAAGCATTAAGAACAGTTAAGAAGATAAAATTAAACTTCAAACCAGCCAAATTAAATAGAAAAATAACAGGTTACACATTTGCCATTCCATCCTTTTAAGGAAATAGGTATTAGTTTATTGTAATGCCAAATTCTAATAGTTATTATTGTGCTACTATCATGATAACTAAACAGGAGTCCATTCCTCAGGTATACTAAATACTTCAAAGGTGATTATCCACTAAAAAAAAAGTTATTACACAGACTTGGAAAATTTACATTTACTTCTTACCAATCGAATGAGCTGTCTGTCCAGCCATCTCAGCACATCTGGCCCTTCTTCTGTCTCTGCTCGATATATTGCCAGCCGGGCCATCAGAATAGCAGCTGCCTCCTGGTCAAAAGAAGCAGCAATGTTCTGGATTTGAGTTTGAGCATCTGCCCAGCTAGAGAGTAAAAAAGCACAGAAATGTCACTTGGTTATATTACAACACTGTAGCTGGGGGCTGGGAAGGTGGCTCAGTGGTAAAGTGCTTGCCTTGCATACATGAGGCCCTGGGTTCGATTCCTCAGCACCACATAAGCAGAAAAAAAAAAAAGCTGGAGTGGGGCTGTGGCTCAAGTTGTAGAGCACTTGCCTTGAGCTGAAGAGCTGAGGGACAGTGCCCAGGCCCAGAGTTCAGGCCCCACAATAGACCAAATTTTAAAAAAAAAAACTGTAGCTGGACACCACAGACATTTACATTTAAGATACATAAGACAACTTCAATATTTCAAATTACAATGGTACCTATACAAACTCTCATTTTTTTAAGAAATCATTAACAGTAGTTTTACTACTGCTTTTTTTAAATAATCAAATCTAAAAATGTTTCTCTGAATTGTACAGTCTTGTCTCCTGCTACATTTCCTGAAAACATCAAGACTTTCACAAGTAAAAATAACAGTATGCATATACTTCAGACATACACATCTCTTATCAGATTTTATAATTTTATTTCTTCAATTTTATAAAAACAGAAAAGTAAAAGTTTCTTCTCAGCCTAATAACCATTTGTTCCACAGAAAAATTAATAAACATGAACAACTCAGAGACTTTCAATCAGTCAATGATTAGTGATAAAAATCACGTAATTAAAAAAACTTTGAGGGCTGGGAAGGTGGCTCAGTGGTAGAGTGCTTGCCTTGCATGCATGAGGCCCTGGGTTCGATTCCTCAGCACCACATAAGCAAAAAGAAAAAAGTGGCGCTGTGGCTCAAATGGTAGAGTGCTAGCCTTGAGCTGAAGAGCTGAGGGACAGCACCCAGGCCCAGAGTTCAGGCCCCACAACCGGACCCAAAAAATAAATAAATAAATAAACTTTGAGCTGGGTGCTTGTCTCATGCCAGTAATTCTAACTGCTCAGGAGGCTAAGATCTAAGAATCACAGTTCAAAGCAGCTGGGCAGGAAGGTCTGTGAGACTCCAATTAGCCACCAGAAAACCTGAAGTGGAGCTGTGGCTCAAAGTGGTAGAGTGCTAGCTTTACGCAAAAAATCTCAGCGACCAGTGCCCAGGCACTGAGTTCAAGCCCCATGACCAACAAAAACAAAAAATTTAAGTGAGACTATGGAAATCAGTATAGAGTTTTTACAAAAGTTAAAACCAGAACTACCATAATCCAGCTATAACATGTCTAAGTATATATTACATCCAAAAGAATCAAAGTCATCTTACTAGAGAGATTATGGCATAACCTTTTTTTATCATATCACTATTCCTAATAGCCAAGGTATTATAATTATACATACTGTATATTATAAGTATACACACTAGAATCATATTAAGTCACAAAGAATGTAAAAACAATGTTATAGACTCATACTTGTAATCCTAGCTACTTGGTGTAGGTAGGGGTGCCAAGATTTAGAGGACTGTGGTTGAAAGCCAGCCTGGACAGAGAAGTTCACAAGGCCCCCCTCTCAACCAAGAGCTGGATAGGAGACATACCCCTGTTATCCTAGCTATGACAGGAAGCCTAAAATAGGTGGCTCACAGTGCCCAGGCAGGAAGCAAAACCCTATCTCAAAAATAACTAGTGCAGCCTAATGCTGGTGGCTCACACCTATAATTATACTCACAAGGCTGAGGCCTGAAGACTGAAATTTATAGCCATCCCAGGAAGGAAAGTGCACAAGACTTATTTTCAATTAACTTCCAAAAGCCAGAAGTGGGACTATGCCTAAAGTGGTAGGATGCTAACCTTGAGCTCAGAGACAGAGCTCAGGCTAATTTCAAACTCCAGGATTGGCACCAAAATAAATAAATAAACAAGCTGAGATTTTAGGATTACAGTTCAAAGCCAACCTGAGACTCTTATCTCTAATCACCAAAAAGCCAGAGGGTATGCTCAAGTAGGAGAGTGCTATGCTAGCCTTGAGCAAAAAAGCTAAGAGACAGCTCCGAGGCCCTGAGTTCAAGCCACAGTACCAGCAAATAAAATAATCACCAGTGCAAAAGAGGCCTGCAAGTGTGGCTCAGTGGTATAGCAGCTGCCTAAAAAGTCAAGAAGCATGAGTTCAAAACCCTAGTATAGCCACACATACATACAAAAAGACTAGGAAAATGGATGGAACTGGAAGCAATCATGTTAGCAAAATAAGTCAGACTCACAAGGGCAAGTAGAATAAGACTGTCCTTATTTGTGAATTTATTGCACACAGTTCTGACCAACCACAGTGAAAAAATAAATAAGGGCTGGGAAGGTGGCTCAGTGGTAGAGCACTTGCCTTGCATGCATGAGGCCCTGGGTTCAATTCCCCAGCACCACATAAGCAAAAAGAAAAAAGCCGGAAGTGGCGCTGTGGCTCAAGTGGTAGAGCACTAGCCTTGAGCTGAAGAGCTGAGGGACAGTGCCCAGGCCCAGAGTTCAGGCCCCACAACCGGACCCCAAAAATAAATAAATAAATAAATTTTGAAAAGACCAAAGGAGATCTCAAAAAAAATATTTTTTAACTCTCATGTGGGCATTCTATAGCTCAGTTGATTCAGAGATGCTCTCAGTCATACATTATCATCAGTTGTGTTTAAATTGTTTCCCTACCCTCAATTTGTGAAAAATACCTCCCACAAAGCAAATGGTGCCCCCAAAAAGTAAAACTTATAGAAATCCTAAGCCTAAGAAATCCTAAGAACATGTAATGTGCTTATTTTAAGTGCTTAAGTGAAAATCTAAGATTTATTGAAAGGCATGTCTTTGGTGCAAGCTGGATGATATTATGAGAAAAACAAATCAAGAATCTGCAGAATTCTTTAAGATCTGGTTTTTCATAACCATGTCAATGTGAACAGCAGAAGTTGTAGTGATAGTCCTCCATGTGGCTTCAAGTTATAGATGCTCAGAACTACTCAAAATACACAGAGGTAATGATTTATCCTCAACAGCAGTCTCTAGACCCATAGGCCTGCAGACATCAGTGGCCTATTGAATAGGAAAAACTTATAAAAAAAGAACATTATGTCAGACACCTTGTATTCATATACTGTTTTGTAGAATGGGAACTTCTTTGTACAACTACTTAAAGATAATAATAATAATACAACTTTGGGGGGGGGGTGAGATTGGGAGGGGTGAGGGTGGAGTGGGGTGGGTAGAGTTGGGAAGGGATGGGAAGGGGAAACAAAGGAGGAGGCTTGATAAGAAATATAGCCCAGGCCAGAGTTCAAGTACCATGACAAGGGGGGGGGGAGGGTAATGTACTCATTATCTTGCCCATGTAATTGTAACCCTTCTGTACAGTATTTTCACAATAAAAAAATAATAATGAATTAAATAAATTAAAAAAACATGAAAGTACAAAAAGGACTATTACAGATGTGAAAGAAGAAAGGAGAAGAGGGGGAATAATAAAGTGAATACAATACAAATGTCAACAAAAAGCCAAGACTTTGTACAATTAATATCCACTAATAAAATTTTTAAGTAATAATTTCAGTCTAGGAAATTAATTTGATAACTATGTATGAAAGAGCAGTAATTTATTAAGTGGTAATCTATATAAGCCCAATCTAGTCAAACTCCTCCTGGGTAGACACTGATTTTTATTTGATTTACTTAATATTTCAAAGTCACTACTTTTTGGTCATATTTTAGCTGATCCAAATTTGTAAAAGACCTCACTTCAGACACAGCTCTTATGGACTTCTGAACAAACGTCGAATCAATTATATATGCAATTTTTCATGTAATCAATTCTGCTGTGATCCTGAGAGAATTCAGGTAGTAACAGTTTCAAAATTTTCCTCCTATATTTTTAATTTTCTGGTCTATACCACACCATCACAAGGCAGACCCAGTATGGTTACTTGCATTCACACTATCTTGTAAGAGTCACAAATCCACTGAACAGAAGCTGAATGACAATTTCACAGATACATTAAGTAGCTAATATCAACTATATAGAGAGAGAGAAAGATAGATAGATATAACTATTATATTACATATACATATACATGACCATCACCAATTGAAAAATAATGTGATTTATCACTTTACTATATAAAATATATATGGTGGATTTGACATGTAAATATGTATATAAGTATATATATTATTGCCTATTAAGTAAAATGTTTGATTTTTTTCCTCTCGGAATAAAGTAAATAAAAAATTTTGAAGCATGTGTCTAGGAGTACTTTTAAAATTTGCTTTTACAGGACTGGGAAGGTTGCTTAGTGGTAGAACGATTGCCTAGCATAAAGCCCTGGGTTCGATTACTCAGTACCACATAAACAGAAAAGGCCAGAAGTGGTACTGTGGCTCATGTGGTAGAGCACTAGCCTTAAGCAAAGAAGCTCAGGGACAGTTCCAGGCCTGAGTTCAAGCCCCAGAACTGACACACCCAAAAAAAAAATGCTCTTACAGTTTTTATCAATGGATATTCTAGCTAATAAGAAAATAAAAGAATTTAAGGCTATGAATTACAAATGTTCACTTTCTAATAATGAATTTCACCAAGACAAGAACTGGGAAGGAGAGCGTGACCTACAGTAGTTTAGCTAAGTAAATTAAATACAACTTACTTCCTGGCGATGGTGGTCACTCGGATGCGCCTCTGGCCACTTGAATGCTGATACTGTGTCACAAACTGGATTGCACCACGTCCACCTTGAGGAATTGGAGCATTATGCTGTGTAAAAGAAGTAAAACCTAAGCAAAATATACTACACTGTCATCATACAATTATATTCTTCAATACTTATAAATGTTCATTCGAAAGTTGAAAATCTCACATCAAAGAAAAGCTCAGGGCTAAATGGCTTCACTATAGAATTCTACCAAATAAGTAAAGAACGAATACCAACTCTTAAATGAATGAGATTTTTCCCAGGGATATATGGATTAGGTCAACCTATGCAAACAAAAACTGGTATCTCTTAGAATGAAGGACATCAGAATGAAAGATAAAAACTGTATTATAATCATCTCAATAAATGCAGAAAAGGCATTTGATAGAATTCAACATCCCTCTTCCTGATGAAAAAACTGAACAAATTTTTTATTTAAAAAAAAACCTCAACATGATAAAAGCAATACATACCAAGCCCATGACTATCATTATATCAAGAGGTATAATAGAAAAAAAACTGAAAAATTTCTTTCAAGAGCTATAAGAGTGCCCACCTTCACTACTTTTACTCAACATAGTACTACATGTTCTGAGCACAGCAATCAGGCAACAGAAAGAAAAAGGCATTGAAACTGGAAGAGAAAGTGAAACTGTTACAGTTTACAAATGACACAATCTTTCATATATGCAGAAAACTCCAAACACTTCACTCCAAATATTAGAATAAATTCAGCAAAGTCTCAGAATACAAAGACAAAACATAAAATTCAGCAAAAAAATATATAAAAATAAAATAGCAAACTATAATAGAAATCAAGGGCTGGCGATATAACTCAGAGGTAGAGCATTTGCCTACCAATTGAGATCTGGGTTCAATCCCTATCATGGATAGGAAAGGGAGAAAAGTAGAGAAAGGAGAAGAGGAGAGGGAAGGAGTGGAGGAAAATCAAGGAAGAAGAAGAAATCAAAAAAGTTATTCCATTTGTAACAACTACAGAAATACCTGTGAATAAATTTAACTATAGATGAAAAGTACAAACCATTAATGAAAGAAATTTAACAAGATATAAACTGAAAAACTGAAAGAATAAATACTGTTAAAAGGTCCATAGTAAGAGGAGGCTACAATGCTTGATAAGAAATGTACTCATTATCTTGCCCATGTAACTGTAACCCCTCTGTACAGTTAAATGAAAATTTTTTTAAAAAGGCCCATAGTAAGAATGCAATCTATGGATTCAATATAATTCAATAAAGGTGGGTGCCAGTAGCTCACACTTGTAATCCTAGTTACTTAGAAGATGAGATCTAAGGACTGCTATTCAAAGTCAGCCCAAGGCAAAGAAGTACATGAGACTCTTATCTACAGGTAAACAGCAAAACCACCAGACCAGAAGCATGAGTCTATTGGTAGAGTACCAGATTTGAGTGGAAAAAAGCTAAACAAGAATACATAGCCTGGGCTGAGAATATGGCTTAATGGTAGAGCAGTTGACTAGCATACATGAAACCATGGGTTTGATTCCTCAGTACCATATAAACATAAAAAGCCAGAAGTAGTACTGTGGCTCAAGTGGTAGAGTGCTAGCCTTGAGCAAAAGAAGCTCAGAGACAGTACCCAGGCGCTGAGTTCAAGCCCCAGGACTGGCAAAAAAAAATAGAATGCATGGTCTGAGTTCAAGTCCCAGTACCTGCACCAAAAAAGAAGAAAAACAAAAAATACCACTGACATTATCCACAGAACTATAAAAAAAATCCTAAAATTCAGAAGAAATATTCACTGCCTAAATTAAATATTTATTTGCTTGTCAATATTAAAATATAGGATGGCGTACCTGATTAACCACCTCAAAATAGATGGCTAAGGTTGAAGTGGGACTGAGCCCACATATCTTCCACTGACAAGTGCCACCTGTTCCTATCTCCTGCAAAACAAAACACAGCGTAGAACAACAAAAAACATTTTATTAGTATAATTTATATTAAAAAGAAAATGGGGGCTGGAGTCATGGCTCAAGGGGTAGAGCACCACTCTGAGCTAAAGCAAGTACCAGATACTGAGTTCAAGTCCCAGTCTCAGATTTTAATAAAAGGAAAAAACTTCCATAGGAAACAAAGTTTTGATGTCTAAACTAATTCAATGAACGTGAAAAGCTTAAAACTTTTTAAGACCTTATCAAACACATTATGAGATAAAAATTGAGCCCTTTTTATATAACAAAATTGTTCAGATACACAAATTTTTTGTTAAGTAAATTAAAAATACTGATGAAAGGTCTTTTTACTCTGTTGCCTTTAAAAGCATATACCTTTTAGCGCATTGTTTATAAGTATGTGATCTATGGAAATGGACACTTAACACAGGGCATAGGTATGTATGACAAGTCATGCAGTCAGAATTCCAAGCAGAGTCCTGAGAAAATTGACACATATGCAAACTGCTTATAAATTAGTTTGGTAACTCTGTCATTTTTAAGGCTGATTGCCTATTTTGTATTATTTACCTCACTGGCCTCTTTAGAGCTACATGATTCTATGATTTGGGATATATCACACTTCCTCTAAATACGAAAAAAAGAAATAAGGGAATAGAAACGCCAATCTTGCCAAGTTGGTAATTTTGCTGCTTATTCTGGTAACAGAAATTCATATTGAATTGATTTTTACTTTCAGAAGTATACAAATTTCCAAACCTTAAAAAAAAGTTTTAAGAAACACTAGGGTAAGGAATAACAAAGGCATAGGAAACAAAGGACTGATGATAAAAAGTATAAAAGTTTTAATTTAGCCGTAGATGGGAAATCCTATGTGAAAAGAACAAACATGAACAGAAATCTACAAAGAGAAGGTGAACCATATAAAACCCATACAATAAATTCAAAAGGAATGCTAAAGTCTGCCTCTTCAGGTCTAGCGCTGTCTGAGAATTAACTGTATTTTCTTTTACAATAAAAATGACTTACATTTTCAGACACGCAGGGTCCTTTAGAATTAAGAGACACACAGGGTCCTATAGCTCCTGAAATCTTTATTTCCCTTGAGGTCTGCAAAATAAGAATATACTATGTTTGATTTCCCCAGACAAGACCAGTTGTTCATAAGCGTTTAAGAATATAAGCTACCTCTCCATATTTAATACTAGGAAGTCAATGAAAATATACTAACATTAAAAAATAACTGGCTACTGAGTACGTCTACACTGATAAATATCAGATTTAAAAATCAATGCCTAATTTTAATCCTCTGTTTCAATCAGCCATAGTCAATTTCCATTTGGAAACCTGACCCTGAGTTCAAACTCAGCACACTCATAATTCACATTTCCTCCTCCCAAACTGTAGACATCATATACTGTTGTTCCTTGATAGCAAGTATAGGAAACCATTTTTCTGCCAAGAGTCATTTGGATATTTATAGTATCATTCTAAGGCCATGTGAATACAGGAAGGAGGACCACAGACAGCTGGAGAGAAGCATTAAGTGTCTGTACCAAATGATTTTGAGAACCTCATAGAGCCTGAAGGTGGATGTTTTCCACCTCATCTCTACAGAAAATTAAATCTTCAAGAATTATCTCTTCGGCTGGGAAGGTGGCTCAGTGGTAAGAGTGCTTGCCTTGCATGCATGAGGCCCTGGGTTCCATTCCTCAGCACCACATAAGCAGAAAAAAAAAAGCCGGAAGTGGTGCTATGGTTCAAGTGGTAGAGCGCTAGCCTTAAGCTAAAGAGCTGAGGGACAGTGCCCAGGCCCAAAGTACAGGCCCCACGACTGGCCAAAAAAAAAAAAAAAAAATGATCTCTTTCCAGTCTCTACAGCCACCAAAATTTAAGCTTCCATATTATGGCCTGAAAACATTAAAAGGCCTATGCCTGTTTTCTTGAGATTCTTTTCCTGGCCAATCCTGAATACCACTGTCAGATTTATTACTCAAAACACAGTTCTTAGGGCTGGAAGTATGGCTCAAGTGGTACAGCAATCAGTCTAGCAAGTGCAAGATCCTGAGTTCAAATCACAGTTTCATTTAAAAGAAAAGTTCTTTAATAACCTACAAATGATTTCTATAGATATATGTATCTTCAAACAACAACCTACCCAAAATTGACACTGTTGTTGCTTTTATTTCCCCAAACCTACCAGCTACTAGCTACTATCACTTAGCATTTTCCTCAAGCATTTCATGTTAATTCTCACCTGACTCTTCACATTTAAGTTCCTAACTAAAATGCACTCTCCTCTTATCCTGAACAAAAAAAGGCAAAACAAAACTCCCCTAGAATAAATAATGTCCTACATATGTTCACTTTTTTCCCTTGAACTTTTAGAGTACTTTTAGTTCCTACTGTTATTTCATTCTTTCACGTTATTCTCATTTCTCATCACTTACAACAAGACCTTAACTTTAGGTATCCTGACACCTCTACAAATTCCTCGTATAGTGCTAGATAGGCAGAAAATATTCAGTGATATAAGAAGATTAACAAAAAATAGTTATGGGCACTGGTGGTTCACACCCATAATCCTAGGTACTCAGGAGGCTAAGATATGAAGATCACAGTTCAAAGCCAGACCATGCAGAAAAGTCCATGAGACTTTTATCTCTAACTAACCACCAAAAGCCAGGAATGGAGCTGTGGCTCAAGTGGCAAAGTGCCAGCCTTTAGCTAAAATAGTTAAAGAAGAGCAATGTAATCTTGAAGTCAAGCCCCAGTACTGGTATCAATAAATAAAGTAATAGTATATTTATAACTTATGTATTATACTTTATATAAACACATATGTATATAAATACATTATAATTAATATATTTATATTTTATTTAATAAAGCTTCAAAATCAGTGTTTATGCATATAAACTATACGCATATAACTGTCATTAGATTTTAAATCCAAATTTGAAATGAATTAATAACTGTGTAGCTAACCCAAAATTGTTTTGTATCATTTCAAGTTTGAAATGACATTTTTCAAGTTTAAAATACATAGAGAGCTGGGAAGTTGGCTCAGTGGTAGAGCTCTTGCCTTACATGCATGAGGCCCTGGGTTCAATTCCTCAGCACTACATAAGCAGAAAAAGCCAGAAGTGGGGCTGTGGCTCAAGTGGTAGCGCTTGCCTTGAGCTGAAGAGCTGAGGGACAGCACCTAGTCCCAGAGTTCAGACCCCACGACTGACCAAAAAAAACAGAAAAGGCTGGAAGTGGCACTGTGGCTCAAGCGGCAATGCACTCACTAGCTCTGAACTGAAGAGCACCCCAGCCTAGAGTTCAAGCCCATGACTGACCAAAAAAAAAAAAAAAAGAATAGTTTCCTCTTAAGTTAGATAATTTATGCACCTAAAAAGAAAAAACAACACTAAATTACATCAATTTGGTTGGCTCAGTGGTAGAGTGCTTCCCTAGCATGTACAAAGCTCTGGGTTCAATTCCTCAGTACCACATACACAGAAAAGGCCAGAAGTGGTGCTACAGCTCAAGTGGTAGCACGCTAGCCTTGAGCAAAAAAAGCTCAGGGGCAGTAGCTAGGCCTTAAGTACAAGCCCCAGGACAGACTAAATAAATAAATAAATAAATAAATAAATTTAGCAAGAATAAAAGATAAAACATACAACTGGGTGCAGTGAAAGCATGCCTGTTCCAACATTCAAAAAGCTGAGGCAGGAGGACCAAGAGTTAAGAGGTCAGCCTTGACTACACGGCAAGACCCTGTCTCAAAAATGATCAAACAAAAACACTTTTAAAAATTACATCCAATATAAATAAACAATAGAGTTAAACGAATTTTTATCTATTTAATTCTACTTTATTCACAAATGTTCAGAAATGCTTAGTCTCATTGGACATGTACAATGTTGACAGATCTTCCCAGTGAACCAAATTTCCCACCTAAGGTTTCAATACATATATTGTGTTTGACTAATATTTTTACAGTAAGATCAAGCCTACAAATTCCTCTTGATAACCATAACACACATATCAAGTTTGAGTTCATACCTTTATTTCTAACGTACCACCAAAGCCCATTTTAAACTGTCCATGCATATCTTTGGTGAAGACTCGTTGAAAAGTTTGCTTAAATAAGGAAGTGTTGAAAGAGTCACCCATCACCATATACCCGCTGCACAGAAAAAAAAAAAACACAATGTATGTAACAGTTATCTAGGTCACATGCTACATATACATATATTACCACCCAAGGTTACAAGAAACTTTCAAGCTATTTCCAAAAATGTGTGTGTGTGTGTGTGTGTGTGTGTATGCATTTGCATGTATGCATATGTACTGGTACTGGGTCTCAAACTAGGGCTTACAAGCTGTCCCTTAGGTTTTTCACTCAAGGCTGGTGTTGTACTACTTAAGACACAGTCCCACTTAGGCTTTTTAGTGGTTACCTGGAGATAAAAGCCTTATGGACATTCCTGCCTGAGCTGACTTCAAACCATGATCCTGAGATCTCAGTATCCTAAGTAACTAAAATTATAGCTATGAGCAACCTGCAAATGGCTTATTTGGCTACGTTTTAGAGTCTGGGAATTATAAATAAAAAATGCAGTCCATGAGACTCTATCTCCAATAAACCACTAGGAAAACCAGAAGTGGCTCTGTGGCTCAAATGGCAGAGCACTAGCCTAAAGCTGAAGAGCTGAGGAATAATGCCCAGGTCTAGTTCAAGGCCTACAACTGACAAAAAAAAAAAAAAAAGCTACTGAAGTAATAAAACTTTGGGATATTAAAATTTTTAAACACTGCTAGACATTGGTTGCTCACACATGTAATACTAGCTACTTAGTAAGCTGAAATCTGAGGATCGCGGTTCAAAGACAGCCGGGGCAGGAAAGTCCATGAGACTCTGATCTCTATCTACCAGAAAACTGGAAGTGGTATTATGGCTCAAGTAGGAGAGCACTAGCCTTGAACTGAAGAGCTCAGAGACAGCACCCAGACCCAGATTCAAGCCCCATGACTGAGAAAAAAAAAAAAATTGAAACAGAACTTGTGATTTTACAATTCCGTGTTTAAAAACAGTCAAAGTGTGGGCTGGGAAGGTGGCTCAGTGGTAGAGCACTTGCCTTGCATGCCTGAGGCCCTGGGTTTGATTCCTCAGCACCACATAAGCAAAAAGAAAAAAGC